TAAAATATTTAATTAATGAATTTTTATGGATTTAAATTCTTTATTCTGTTGAGCTAGAATAAATAACTTGAGTAAATGATGATGTAATATATTGAATAGATAATTTTTGTAAAGTTTTGCATTATTCTTTACTTAATAGAAAATTTTATTAAGTTTATCTTAGATAAATTAGTGAAATTCTGATTATTATTTTTATTTATTCATGACAATCCAATAAAGCAAGAACTGGTGTATTGTTAATTATTTTAAGATTTGTTAACTCTGTTTATTTTTTCAAATGTTTTAGATAACATTTAAAATAATGTCTTTAAATCAACTCTAGTTTTTTATTTTTTTAAATACAACAGAAATCCATTATAGGTTGCATGATGCAATTTTCTGTAAATTTAGATATATTTTTAAATAAATTGATTTTTTCCTGAGAGGGAGCACACACATCAGACACATTATTATAGTATTATATGTCAGATCTCACTGTGTGCTTTCCACATATACTATGGTATAAAAATAAAAAGAAATATTGTATTAACAGTCTCTTGTGTACTAGATATTCTTAGCCAGGGGTGATTTCTCTGGGCTAGCTTAGCATGTGCCATATGCTTAAGAGAAAGTTTTGACTGTCAAAATACTTTTTATATGAGAACGAACATTTCAATAATAAGAGAGTTTACACATTAGAATATATTATCATTTGTGTTTGCTTTTACATTGACAGCTAGTGGCTAGCTGTTTTAAGTTAGTGTGATGCTTGTGGGAACTCGATTGCTTGCTCACGTGGAGGTTTGCTGCAGCAAACAAGTGTGCATGCTTGATGTTATTTGAAGCATTTAACAGGGCCAGATTGTATCAAAAGCTTGCTGTACCCAATCAGCATACACGTATTGTGTACTTTCAAATCCAAGTTGTGAATTGTTGAGTTATGTATGTTCAGGGGCAGATCTACATAGGGACTAATAGGGCTTAAGCCCTGGACCCCCAAGTGTCAATGGCCCACAAAACTTGAATTATCATCATACATTTTTAATACTTTTTCTGATAAAGTTTGTCATTCAACACCATTTTATAAATAAATAAATTTCAACTTTGATTTTGATGTTATTAAAAATGAATTTTAAACCTCAATTTAAAGATTTTTAATCTAACAAAGAATAGGGCTCCATTGAACTTCAATAAGTCCTAGGCCCAGAAAAACCTAGATCTGCCCCTGCGTATGTTGTTGCTATACATTATTTTATTCACACCAAATAACATTTCTGCCTATTGTTTAGTGCTACAGATAGGCCTAGTAATCCTATTATAACATTTGGTCAGGATTTGCCCCTGTTCTTAGCCCAAGATGGTAAGCTGGATGTGACTACAGAGAAGAAAAATAAAAAGAAATATTGTATTAACAGTCTCTTGTGTACTAGATATTCTTAGCCAGGGGCGATTTCTCTGATTTCTATCCAAATTATCCATAAATGAATGGTATGAAGAAAGAAAGCATATCTAAATCAAACCAAGAAAGTATGTCTAAATCAAACCAGACCAAATTGGAAAGGCCGATTTTTGGTGTTTCACTGAGTGACAGAAGTCCTCCCAAATGTTTTGGGAAATGAAACAACTTGCTGGTACAGATATGACCAGCAGTTTTTTGTATGATTTATTTCTTACCTGCCTACCCAAACACATTCATGGGATTCTTGTGTTAACAAATGTGACTGAAGTTGATGTACTACACTTGCAGACATAGCAGACAAGATAATGAATGTCAATCCTGAAGTAGCCTCAGTAGCAGTAGTTTCAAAACATGAGGCTTTCTGTTGACTGGAGTAATGAATTCTCGATGTTAAAGTGAAAATTACCCAAATTATGACCTATGGATGATTTCATAGCTGTGATAAACATAATTGCAGAGATAAAAGTCAATAATGTATGTACATCCACTCCACACAGAAAGGACCATGAGAAATTCAACAGCCAAGCCAAAAACTGCCACCCAGGATTTATGAATTACAACAATAACACAAATGAGAAAGCCAGGCAGTGAATGTGACAACTGTGCCATCCAAACCTGTGCTTGCTTATTTTTGATACAATTTCAAACCTTTATTTCCTGATGGACTCCAGCATGGATAAATCAGTGCTACCAGTTAGAAACAAGAACATATCATCCAAATTTGAGTTCACATTATACAGTAGAGCCTCGATTATCCGACCCAATTGGGGACTGGGGTTGATCGGATAATTGAAAAGTCGGATAACCGAAAAGTAAGAAAAAATCCATTATTAGTGTAGTATATTATTATATCCCATGTAATTAGTATATTAGTATATCGCTATTAACCTACTTCGCGTTGAATTTTCATCAATGTTAAGCCTAACAAAAATAATAATCGTCGCTATTGTATCGTTAAAAATTAGAAAATTCAGCCTCGTTTAAATACTGGCTCCCTTTCATGGTCGAATGAGTGTTGCCAGCTAAAATACGTAAAAACAATATTAAAGTAGCCGAGATATAGCCAAATATTGT